GGGGGGGGGGGGGGGGGGGGGGGGGTACCTGGCGTGAGAGAAAACACAAAACAACACCAAACACAACACGGCACGTAACAACATGGAAACACCTGTCTTACCTGTTTCACCCCCACCTGTCTCACCTCCACCTGTCTCATGTGTCTCAACTTCATCTGTTTCATCTGTCTCACCTGCTTTACGTGTTTCATCTGCCTCACCTATCTCACCTGCTTCACCTGTATCACCCCTACCTGTCTCATCTGTCTCACTTTTTTCACCCGTCTCACCTGTCTCGACTGTTGCACCTGCATCACCTGTATCACCCTTACCTGTCTCATGTTTCTCACGTCTAACTGGTTTCACCTGTTTCACCCTCACAGGTGAGACAGGTGGGACAGGTGGTTGATGGGTATTTTCCCTGCAGGGAGGAGGAGCCTCTATTCCAAGCAATCCGTGTTGGTGATTCAAGCAGAGTGAAAGCGCTGACAATGCATGGAACAAACCTGATGCTGCCGAGTAAACCGGGCTGGCTCGCCACCCACCAGGCGGCACTTTATGGTCAGGACACCTGTCTGAGGGTACTGCTGTCAGGTAAATATGTACACACACACACGCACACACACACACACACACACACACACACAATGACATCACAACAACACCCAGAGAAGAGACGTCCTGTTCTGTGTTTCGTGCTCAGCTCAGCTGGGGATGCTCAACAAACAAACCATGCGTGGTGAGACGGCGCTGATGGTCGCCATCGGCAAAGAGCGGCTGAAGTGTGTTCAGATACTGCTGGAAAAGGGAGCGGACCCCAACATCCCGAACAACGAAAAAGAGACGCCACTCTACAAAGGTAAAACTGACAGAAAGTGATGAAGTGACAAAAAGATTCACCTGTTTTTTCTCAGGACACAAAATGATATGACTTTGGTTCTCTGATTTATCTGAAAGGTTCTGGATGTAACTGTCAGAAATCCTTGTTATTAGTGACGTCTCCCTCTGAGGACGTTAAACATATGCGTGGAAACAAAAGGGGCGGTTGAGAGGGCAGTCTTGGATCAGACCTCTGGCACTCAGGCGCTCAGTCATGCTCTGAGTGAATTGGAGTTGGACAGGACACTAATTAAAGGTCCACCTCTGACGGGCCGTCGCTGCAAAACTCAGCTCTGTGTTGTGACGGGACCATTTGTTGATGTTAGTGGACTCCATTTCTTAGCTACCGTTTTCGGGACTCAGGAACATAGGTAATGTCACATTCTTTGGCTTCTCTAGGAAAATTTATCCCAAGTCCTGAACATGAAAGTCAGTCCACAGGCTGTTAGAGGCAACCGATAAAGAGCTGTTCACACAAAGAAATCAGTACATGTAAAGTTACATCCAGAACCTAAGGTAAAACTTTAAGGTAAAACTTTAATGTCCCCGTGGGGCAATTTCATCACGATGACAGTCAGTACAGGGTAGGGGTGATACAGGTGAAGCAGGCGAGAACATTTAAACGTTTTCAGAAGGACAGAACAGAGAACCAACCAAGCCACAGACCAGCTCCTAAACTCAGAGTATCTCCTGAAAGTGGTTCATTAATGACCTGAGTTATGTTTGAGGAGTCAGATCAGCCAGTCAGAGAGCTTGATTCTCCGAGGTCAGGGTTTACCTCTTAAGGTTGTTGTGATCTAGACTGAGCTGGAGGAGGCATTGAGAAGCTCTTTGTTCCTTCCTCTGCAGCCTGTGAGAGGAACAGCGCTGCGATGGTGGCGATGTTGTTGAACCACGGTGCTGTGGTGAACACTCGCTGTATTCTGGGCTGGACGGCCCTGCAGGAGGCAGCGAATCGAAACAACGTGGAGATCTGTGAGATGCTGCTGAAGGCTGGAGCCAAACACGAACTCACCAACGTGTACGGCATCTCGCCAATGTTTACCGCCGCTCAGACCGGGCAGATCGCCACTCTGCGCTGCCTCCTCAAACACGGTAGGTCCAGGGTTTATTTTAATGTTCTATCGCCAACTGCTACTGTGTTCTGTGGAGTTCAGAGTGTTTGGGGTCAAAGTTCAGTTTATTCAGTTTGGTTCAAGTTCACTAAACTTTGGCTGCACGACCTGACAGATGTGACTGAGACACTCGCTCTGAGCAAATGAGACAAAGGAGCAGCAGCTATAAAAGGTTGGAGGGCTGGGTGATCAAGAGAAAGTCAAATACAGACCCTTTCCAAAAAATTAGAATATCATGGAAAAGTTGTTTCATTTCCATAATTCCATTCAAAAAGTTAAACTTTCATAGAATATAGATTCAGGGCCCACAATTTAAACGATTTCAAGTATTTATTTGTTTATTTTTACATAATTTGGGCTTCCAGCTCATAAAACCCACAAAAACAGGAATTCAAAAAATTAGAATACTGTGAAGAAATCAGCCCAAATTTTGCAGGGCATGAATGTTTTAAACTGAGTGTCACACACTAATCATCTACTAAACTCAAAGCACCTGCACAGGTTTCCCCAGGTGTCATTAAATTGCTTCAGTTTGGTTCAATTGTCTCAGTTCGGTTCAATATGGGGAAGACTGCAGACTTGACAACTGGCCAGAAGACCATCATTGATACCCTCCATAGGATGGGTAAGCCACAAAAGTTCATAGCTAAGGAGGCTGGCTGTTCACAGAGTGCTGTGTCCAAGCATATCAACGGAAAGTCTAGTGGAAGGGCAAAATGTGGCAGGAGAAGATGCACCAGCAAA